ATATATACTTAACAGAAAGGTGATAATCCCCCCCCCCAACCTCATCATACATCAAAACTACGCCACTGACCTGAATAAAGCACAAATGAAAGTACATAAATGGACATACAGCGTTGTGCTTTATTCACGTAGTTCTTTGATTTAGTCTACATAGTACAAAGTTACCCTGCAAAGTTACCCTGTTCTTTTTGGCGCATGAAAGAATTTTAAAAGATAGTGATGACCTATCTCGTAAAACAAATGGGAACACAAAAGAAAGTTGCGTATAAAAATCGTAAGTTCTAAAATGGGCGTTGCTGGAAATTATTTAATTGAAAAAGAGAAAGTCTCATAGTTAGGCAATTGAGTTCTTCCGCATAGGCTTCGATGGCCTTTCTTTACACGGTTGTTCAGCAATAAAAGCTTATCATATTTTTTATGCTGGCATGGATTCATGTTCAGGGATGGAATCTATACGATCATAATAAATAAAATGAAAAGTATTTTCAAATCGGGCTTTATTAGAATACGAAATTTCTTTCCTGAAGTGGGTCAAAACATAGAAAATAAACTTAATTAAAATAGTAAAATCACTCACTTATTATTTCTGAAAAATTTGTAAGTGAATTTCATTATTACTTTTGTTTAAAATGCCTACAATTTATGCATTGTGAAATAATCATTTAAATATAATTAAGCATATTTCTGGATAAAAATTATATTTTAGTGTTTAATAATAAAAGCGTGTCGTAATTTTTACAATGGAAGGGATTATGTTTTATGATGGAATCCGTTCAATATTCAAACCAAAAGAAATGAATGATTTACAATTTTTTTTCTTCAAAAATATATAAATGAAAAGTATTTTTAAATTAGGCTTATTGGAAACAAATTTCTTTCCTGAAGTTGGTCAAAATAAATGCTTATGCTTTTTTTTAAAAAATAATTTGAAGGGGGATTTATTTTTTTCATATATTAAGCCCTCTTTCCCATTTTAACATTTAATGAATCTATGTTATGGCATTCATCCTCGTACGTTATTGACCTATGAAATATTACCTTAATTAATGAATAAAGAACTTTACAAATGGGTAGACAATGTACATTGAGAATATGACCGGATATTCATAGTTTAGAATTGACCTCAAATATGTAAATTAATAAAGCTAATAATTAATTAAGTTGCAGAATCACGCACAAAAATGTACATAACTTTTTTTTGACGCATCTGGACTCTTGACTAGGAGTTGTTTCAAAATCTACTGAATTAAATGTTTTTTTCTTCTTCATAATTTACTAAATAATTGTATTTGTACTGTATAATTTTGCAATAATTACAAACAATTGAATCAAAATTATTTTGATAATTTAGCTTTAATTATCATATAATTTGTCTGAATTATAATTTGATATTCTGTAGAAGAATATAGAAGTATGCTCTCAAAACAACGAGTATACTTGTTTTTGAGAGCATATATGTAATGTACACACAGCCTTGAGTAACTGTTGTGTTTCTAGGACTCAATCGAAAGGGTGAGCTTAAATATGTTCATTAGTCAAACTATATTTTAAGTTATGAAATCAGACACTAAAACAGTCCTATTATGTGAGATTTTTAAGGGAATTGAAAAATTTTTGCACACAATTATAAAATTCACTTATCAAAAACTAATTCCATTAAAAAAAATAAGTAAATAAATAAATAAATTTACTAAATATTTATTATTTTTATTAAACAATTGTCGAAAAAATTTTAAATTGCAAGGTATGCCATTTTTTACGTCATCCAAAAAGAATTTAATTTCAGATGGAAAAATATCAAAATTTTGAGTGTAATCGGTTGAATAGATCTTAAGAAATTGGATTTTAAACTTACACGACTTTTTTAAAATTTCATTTCTCAGAAACTATTCGACCGATTTCGCTCAAATTTTGGATTGTGCATTGAAAATTAAATACGTTAAACGGATGTCAACAATTGCATACCTTAAGGACTTCATTAAATGGACTTT